GGGGGGGGGGGGGGGGAGCTGCTCCATTCAGCCCCACACGGGGGTCGGGTGACTGCAGACCCCCTCAGCCGCCCCCCTCTCTCCCTTCCAGGCCGTGGCTGCTGTCTGTGGGTTCCTCATCGTTGTGCTGCTCTGCCTCATCTGCTTCTTCGCCCAGAAGACGCGCAGTAAGATCTGGCGCTACGGCAAAGCCAACATCTACTGGGACCGCGCGCCCGTGGTGCAGGAGGGGCCCGACGTGGAGGAATGGGTGAGCGCAGGGGGGGGGGGAATGGGAACATCCTGCTCCTACCCTGAGCAAGTTGGGAGTCCGGGACACGTGTGCCCCCAGCTGTGCCCCATGCCAGGAGCTCCTCCTGCCACAAAAGCGCCGTGTTTGCTCTCCGCAGCGCTGCACCAGGAGCTGCTGCTGCTGCTATCGCCTGCAGCCGTGGGGCTGAGCTCCCTCCCCACCACCACCCCTTTTTTTTTTCTTTCTCTGGGCCTAAAGGCAAACAGGGTTTGGATCTGATGGGCCGGGGGCCAGCAGTGCTGTGCCCGTCCCTCTGTCTGCCCCGCACCGGCTGCGGGCACAGCTTGGTTTCGGTCTCGTCAATGATTAACTCTGTGCCATAGGACGTGCTGTGTGTGGCACACAGCTGTGCCGTGTTTCGGTCCCACCTGCCCGTTCCCAGCCCCATAGGGATGAGTGCAGGGTGCTGGGGGGTCTGCAGGTTCTGCACCCCTCCATCCCTGTGCGCCCAGTGTTTGTCTTTCATTTTGCACAAACACCTTTGTTCGGGTTTATTTATTTTTGTTCCACGTCCCTCCCCAGCCCGGCATTTCCTGCTCCATGGGGGGGTTGGGGCACAGACCCCACACCCAGGGCTGTTCATAGCATTGTCCCCATCCCCGTGGCAGCAATGTGGGGAGGTGCAGCCACGCACACATGCAGGGATTGATCCCCCCAGCCCGGAGGTGTCCCGTTCCGTGCGTGTGGTTGGGGTGAAGCAATGACCTTTGTGCAGGCGTGAGCTGCAGTCTCAGAGTTGTGGTACAAGGACACGGCTGTCCCTGCGTTGGTGGAGGTCCAACTTGGGGGAAATCACTTAATGATGTCTTCATCCACGGGGGGGAGTGGCAGAGGAAGGGGCTCTGCCTGCCGGAGCTGGAGCTGACATTCCCAAAGTCACCGTCCGGCTCCTGGCTGGGCCAGCATCCGGCACAAACAGCCACAAAGGGCAGGAAGGAAGGGGGGGGGGTGGGAGGGGACATCCTTCCCAGGAGCCCAAAAGCGGGGGCTGACACCTGGGGCTGCAGGGAGGGCTGGAGGGTCCTCCTGAGCTGCGTGCCGGGACCCCCACGGTGCTCTGTGTGGCGTCACCCCTATGGCACGAGGGTCCCTGTGGGTCTGGCGTCCCCCACCCCTCACCGCCCAGCAGGGTCCCACCCCCCCCACAAGCAATGGGGATTTCTCCATCCTTACGGGGACGGTGCCACCATCCCCCTGTGCCCCTCCTGTTCCTTCTGCAGGTGAAGAACGTGGCGGATGGGGCCAGCGTGCAGGACGAGACGGCCACTCTTGCCTACTCAGAGAAGCCCACCAGCCCTGTCACCGCCCCCCCCTACAGCTACGTGCCCCCCCCCAGCGCTGGATATTACCCCTCAGGCACCTACAGCAGCCGGGGGTGAGTGGGGGGGTCTTGGGGTCACCCATCCCCGTGTGACCATACTGATGTCCCCCCCCCTGTGTCCCTGCAGCGATCAGCCGGACCGGGCCTTCAGTGCCAGCCCTGCGCAGGAGGAGGAGGAGGAGAAGGGGAAGGATCAGCCCAGCAGACCCCCTGCCCGCCGTGGCCGCCGCCGTCGCCGCAACCCTGAGCTGGATGAGTCCCAGTATGAGACCGACTACACCACGGCTGTGGAGTCTGGTGATGAGCGGGACCAGGAGCAGTGGGCCAGGTGAGGGGGGGGGGGTCCTGTGGGTGCCCCCTACCTGCAAGCCATCCCCACAGTGCTCACCCTGTGCTGCTCACAGCCAATGCCCCCAGTGGGGGGGGGAACACCCTGCCCACCCCCCCACCCCTGGGGGGTTCACTCTGTGTCTGTATTCACCGTGAGGAGGGTCCTATGGGACACCCATCCCCTATCAGGGCTCAACCCCATGCTGCCCTACAGCCTGTACCCCCTATGAGGTGGTACCCAGGTACACAGAGGGATGCCCATGCCACCCCCACCTCCCCCAGGGGTCACCCCATGCTTTTCCACACCCTGTACCCTCTATGAAGGGGGTCCTATGGGAGCCCCCCACCCATGCCATCCCCACGGGGCTCACCTGCCCCTGCTCACAACCCCATGAGGATGGTCCTATTGGACCCCCCTCCCCTAGCAGGGCTCAACCCCACGCTGCCCTACAGCCTGTACCCCCTATGAGGTGGTACCCAGGGGGTCCCCACGTACACAGAGGGATGCCCATGCCCCCCCCCAGCTCCCCTAGGGATCCACCCCATGCTTTTCCACACCCTGTACCCTCTATGAAGGAGGTCCTATGGGAGCCCCCCACCCGTGCCATCCCCACGGGGCTCACCTGCCCCTGCTCACAACCCCATGAGGATGGTCCTATGGGATCCCCCCCCTCCTCCCACAGCCCCCCCCACCACAGGGCTCATCTCCCCCTTCCCGCAGCCTGTACCCCCCCATCACATCAGACAGCACCCGCCAGCGCTACAAGCAGGAGTTTGACACCGACCTGAAACGTTACAAGCAGCTCTGTGCTGAGATGGACAGCATCAACGACCGCCTCAACCAGCTCAGCCGACAGCTCGACAGCATCACTGAGGACAGCCCTCAATACCAGGTGTGGGCCGGGGGGGGTCCTGGGATGGCTGCAGGGATGCTGCAGGCCAATGGGGCTGTAAAGCTTTGGAGTTGCTGCTTGGGTCTGGGGATGCTGTGGGGCACTGGGGATGCTGCGTGGGTTTGAGGCTGCTGCAAAGCAGTAGGCTGCTGTGGGGGGGGCTGGGGATGCTGTAGGGCATTTAGGGCTCTGCAGCTTTGGGGCTGTCGCTTATAGCTTTGAGGTTGCTGCATTCCGTTTGGGGATGCTGCAGGGCATCAGGGCTGTGTAGGATGCTGAGGGGCTTTGGGGCTGCTGCTTGGCTTTGGGGATGCTGTGTGCCTCTAGGGATACCATGGGGCTGCTGCGGGGCACTGGGCAGAGCTGGTCCCAGAACCCCCCCCCCTCAGGGTTGGTTGTAACCCCCTCCCTCTCCTCCCTGTCCCCATTCCCTTTGTAGGACGTGGCAGAGGAGTACAACCAGCTGAAAGACCTGAAGCGGGTGAGTGCAGCGGGGTCGGATCACCGGGGGGCCATGTAACAAAGCATGGGGCTGATCTCTCCAGCAAAGCATGGGGCTGACTCCCACCTTTTTGCCCACCCCCTCTTTCCCCCCCCCCACCCCTATAGAGCCCAGACTACCAGAGCAAGAAGCAGGAGAGCAAGGTGCTGCGCAACAAGCTCTTCCACATCAAGCGCATGGTGGGCGCCTACGACAAGGTGCGGGGGTAACCAGCACCAGGAGGAGGGGGGGGGCACCCCCCCACCATCCCCACACACAGACTTTTGTGCATTTTGTACCTTTTTTGTAAAGAAAAAAAACAAACCAAACCACACCCAAACACATCCACCCCCCCCCCCAAAGTGCTCACCCCTCCCAATTCCATCCACTGTGAATGCATTGGGGGAGGGCTGGGGGCTGCTCCCCCCCTGTGCTGTAATTATGGCTGGGGGGGGGAGTTGTGTAAGGCCAACATCTCTGGGAAAGGCTGGGGTCTGCACCAGCATCACAGCCCCCCCCGGCACTGTGGGTACCAGAGTGGTACCTGGAGCACACAGCCCAAGGGGGGCAGAGCATCCCTTGGGATGGGGGGCAGTTGGGGGGGACAGAGCCTTTGGGGGGAGTCAGAGCTTTTTGGGAAGGCATTTTGTAAGGAACTGGCTGAAACTGTGTAATATTTTTTCTAAATAATAATAAATGAAGTGTATCTATTGATTTTCAAGCAAGGCTGCAGTGAGGTGGATGCAGGGCTGTCCTTGCAGTGCTGCCACCCCCCCCTGCTGCACTGAGCCCTCCCCTGGGCATCCCACTTCCTTGTAATGAGGGGGGGTGTCCTTAGATCCCCCCCCTCGTGGACAAACCTTTGCAGCCACCTGTAATGGCATTGCTTCCCCATGAGGAACCTTTGGGATGGAGAGCATCTCCCAGACCCCCCCCAAACCCGCAGCATTTTAAGGGCTTCACCCTCTGATGGGGGGGGGGGGGGGGGCGGTGTGAGCACCCCCAGCCTTGTAAGAAACATCTTTATTGATGTCCGTTAATTGGTTTAGTATCATTGAACAAGGATTATAGGGTTGGCTTTTTTTCAGTGAATCAATCTAAATGACTGCTTTCCCCCCCCCCCCCCCCCCCCCCGCCCCCCCCCCCCCCCCCCCCCCCCCCCCCCCGGGACCGTAACCCCCCCCCCCCCGGCTGGGGGGGGGGGGGGGGGGAGAGGGGGAGTCATCATCCCCCCCCCCTGGATTTTTGGTTCCCCCTACCACCTGCATCCCTCTCACGGGGTCCTGGCTTAGAAATGAAGCATGGGAACAGAGCGTAGTGGGAGGATGCTGCTCACATCCCTCCCCCAACCCCAAATCTGGGGGGGGGAGCCAAGCACCAAGCAGGCAGTGGGGGATGGAGTGAGCCACAAGGGCTGGGCTGGGTGCAGCGCACCCAAAGACTCCTCTCTTTGCACCCCCCCCCCTGTGCATGGTGCTCTGTGACCCCATCCCATCTTCACCTTCCCCCCCCAACACCACCCTGTGCCCCCCCAGGGAGAGGGGTGGGCAATCCTCTGCTCCCGGGTCGGTGTCTTCAGTCCTGGAGGATAGGTCTGTCCTGGGAGGGTACAAAGGAGGCTTTTCAGAGCCTCTCGTCTGTGTGTTCCATCACCTCCACCCCGACGTCTGCAATTCGGGTGGGGGTCCCAGAGCCCCTTCCCAGAGCCAGGATCGCTGCTGTGATGGGGTCTAGAAAAAGTCCAACATCCACCTGCAGTGAGGAGTGGTACCTTTGGGTTCCGGAGCACGGGGCTGTGGCCATGCAGCTCTCAGGGTTCCCCTTCTCTTGGCACAGTTCGGACTCCCCCGGGTGGCACCGCAGGGCAGCATTTCGGGAAGGTTGGCATCGCGGCGTCCTCAGGGAGCATCACCAATCCCTACTGCCCCGTCCCATAGGGCCAGTTGAAGGTGCTCCCAGACAGCAGCATGTCCCTGATTAGTGTTTCGATGGGCGTCTTCCCCACCAGGCGCATGAAGAAGAGCTGTGAGATGAGGGCTGCAGGCACGGCGCGCAGGGCAGGCAGGCGCAGCAGGAGCCGCCCGAAGCGCTGCGGCTGCGATGGGTACTGAGAGCGCACGTACTCCGTCAGTGCCACCTGAGCCTTCTCCTGCAGCCCCTCCACGTGTGCCGGGTCCGACAGGCCGCAGGCATCTGGAAAGGGAGATGGGGAAGGGTTAGGAGGGGATCCTGCCAGCAGGGAATTGCTGTATCCCTGTGAGTGCCCCCCACATCCCCATGGGATCCCCTCCCCGCATCGCTGTTGGACAACCCGCATCCCTGAGAACATCTGCATCCCAACTGAGACCCCTGCACCCCCGTGGGACCCCCACATACCCTGTATTCCTGCGAGAACCCCTTCATCCCTATAGAATCCCTGCATCCCCACAGGAACCCCACATCACTGTGAGGACCCCCCCACCCATTTCCCTCACCAGCACCCAGGTGTGATGCCAAGCCCCCCGCCTATGCCCACCCTTTGCAGGGACACCCCACACTGTCTGTGGGGACTTGGGGTCCCTCTCCATCCCCCAGTCTGTACTCCATCACATCGTTCCATCTGCAAAGGGTTCTGCACATCTGCAGGGCACCAGGCACCCCCTCTGCAATGCTCACCATCCCCAAACCCCAACGGGATGCAGAGCTCCCAGCTGTGTGGGGTGGATGTGGGGCTCAAGGGATGCTCACCATCCCCATACCCCCATGAGATGCAGAGCTCCCAGCTGTGTGGGGTGAATGTAGGGCTTAAAGAATGCTCACAGTACCCAAACCCCAACGGGATGCAGAGCTCCCAGCTGTGTGGGGTGGATGTATGACTCAAGGGATGCTCACCATCCCCATACCCCCATGAGATGCAGAGCTCCCAGCTGTGTGGTGTGAATGTAGGGCTTAAAGAATGCTCACGGTACCCAAACCCCTGTGGGATGCAGAGCTCCCAGCTGTGTGGGATGGATGTGGGGCTCAAGGGATGCTCACAGTACCCAAATCCCCATGGGATGCAGAGCTCCCAGCTGTGTGGGGTGGATGTAGGGCTTAAAGAATGCTCATGGTACCCAAACCCCCATGGAATGCAGAGCTCCCAGCTGTGTGGGGTGTGTGCAGAGCTCAAGGGATGCTCACAGTACCAAGACTCCAACAGGATGCAGAGCTCCCAGCTGTGTGGGGTGGATGTAAGACACATGGGATGCTCCTGGTATCCAAACCCCTGTGGGATGCAGAGCTCCCAGCTGTATGGGGTGTGTGCAGGGCTCAGGGATGCTCACGGTACCCAAACCCCCATGGGATGCAGCCAGCTGTGCGGGGCGGACACGGTGCCGACCTACCCGGCGTGAAGAGCGCAATGGCTTTGAGGCAGCTGTACTCAGCTGAATCCACCTGCAGCCTGTTGAGCTTCTCCACCTGATCCTGGAAGATGCGGATCTGGTCCATGAAGGAGACAACGCGGTCGGCCGACATGGGGGAGGCGTGGAAGCCAGCAGCTGCCAGCAGCGGGGCCATGTGCAGCGGCAGCGCCGACTGCGCCGCGTTGAGCACGAAGAGCTCGCTCCAACTGAGCCGCAGCAAAGCCACCTGGTCAGAGACGGGCAGCTCGGGGAAGAAGGGGATGTTGCGTGCCCACTCCACCGTGCTGAAGAGCAGGCGGGCGGCCAACTCGCAGATGTTGTCGATGCCCATCACGCTGCCCTGCTGCGCGTACTGGGAGCCGTAGCGGGCGGCAGGGTAGGGCTCAGCCCGCAGCAGCTGTGAGATGAGCTCGGACACCGGCTGCCCGTTGAAGTACTCCCCGCTGGGCATGGCTGTGGGGCTGGCGCTGGAGTGGGTGGGGGGGATGCGGCCCCTCTGCACGGCTGCGGGGGAGTAAAGTTGGGGGAGGGGGGTCAGATATGAGTCCATTTGGCACCTGGCACCCATGGGTGGCCAAAGCCCCAGGAACAACCCTACAAAGCATCCTGCATGCACAATGGACCCCCGCTAGAAGCCCTGCATCCCTATTGAACCCCCTGCATCCCCACTGGACCCCCTGCATCCCTATTGGACCTTCTGCATTCCCTCTGGACCCCCTGCATCCCTACAAAGCCCCCTGCATTCCCACTGGACCCCCTGCATCCCTACAAAGCTCTGCATCCCCACTGGACCCCCTGCATTCCTACAAAGCCCCCTACATCCTCACTGCACCCCGTACATCCCTACAAAGCTCCCTGCATCCCCACTGGACCCCCTGCATTCCTACAAAGTCCCCTGCATCCTCATTGCACCCCATACATCCCTACAAAGCTCTGCATCCCCACTGGTTCCCTTGCATCCCTATTGGACCTTCTGCATTCCCACTGGA